CGCGGCAGAATGTACCGCGCATGCGTTGCGATCGATTGCGAGGGGCGCACCCTGAATCAAGCGCGCTCTGATGCGATCGGAGACTGGCGCAGCGTGCGCCGACTCGAGGCCGAGCGCGCTCCCCAAGAAAATCTGCCCGACCCCATTAGGGCCAGCACTAAAGGTCACTCTGGCCAAGGGTCACTCTTACGTGTGGCCGATATATGCGGCTGCGCAGGCCACGGCTTGGCCGGGCTGATCGTCGGCCCCACCGACGGCTTGGCCGTGGCAGGGCAAAGTCAAAAGACATATGGAGGCAGCGATGCCGGTAGGTGTCCGAATCCAACCGCATTCGCTAGCCTTGTGATGCGAATTGTAGAAATAAGTGATGGTATCCGCAGAGTCTAACGAGGACTGAAAAAAAACGGGCGCGGACTCAGCCGGCCGTCCGTCAACGTAGCTGTAACTTCCAATGAAACTCATGTGTATGCAAGTCTATGGTTACGCGAGTCAGAACAGCATGGGGCGGAGGGCCTCCCGCCGATCCCACGTCATCCAGCAATGCCGCGGCGCCTGGCGCCACGCAGCGCCACCGCTCGGGAGTTTCACCCTCCCCAGCGGCAACCGCGCACATCCACTGACCTAGCGCCTCTTTGCCTGAAAGGGTCAAGTACGGAATCTTGCCCTCAACGACCAGGTCAACTCTATGACCGTTGGGCAACAGAAGGTAGGGCCTTCGGCCTGCTGGCCAGAAGAAACTAAAACCGTGATCCATGCACTGCTTTCCTACCGAGATCACGCGCGGAGTCTCCGGCATGACCAATGCGTTAGAAACTACCACCCTTAAATTTAGGGCAGGCGATGCGAATTGAACCGAGGGCTTTTGACTCTCCCCCGGCAGTATTCAGAGTGATCGATTGCGGAAGCTTTCGAATCAATCCCATTGCACCTGCACATTTAATATATCTTTCCGCTATAAGGTTATACCCACACCCGGTATCAATGATAAAGCTCAGCGCCCCAAGATTTGCAACATCTTTGTCTGTGCATCCCGCAGCGGCTGTGCGTTGTGGGCCCCCTTCCCCCTCCTCGGTCCTCAACCAAAGATGCCGGACGTCATCTTGTAGGTCTGATGCCTTGATTAGGGCCTCCGCCGCAGATGCTCTCCACTGGGTGGACAACTGCTGGCGCACTTCATCTGGGAACTTCCACCTATCTTCGTCACTTGAGGGCAACTCTTTTAGGTCGCGGCGACGCGCCTTCCTACCAGCGATGGCGGGTTCCGCAGTCAAGGGGTGAAATCGGACGCGGGATTTGCACCGACCCTTTGTCTGAGATCGAACGCAACTCGTGCTAGGGGGGGTCGCCCCAATGCATCTTGATAGCGCCCCGAGAAAGAGGGCGCAGAAAACTGGCAAGACAAATTACGAGTTTCCCAGCTTGCCCCCTGCCTTCGTGGAGGGACTCCCCACTGGAGGAGCGTTTATCAACTCCTCTGCTTATATTCATAAAAGCCTCTGGAAAATGAGGGCCGGCCTGCCTCTGCCCAGGAAGGGCCCGAACTAACGGGGCAGGGCACGCTCGCGCGCCCAGGCTGACTGGGTCAGTGAACGCATTTCTGCCCCCCCCGCATTCGGTTTGACCGGCGCGGGCGTCGCCGCATCCGTCTAGCGAAGGTGGCAAGACATATCGTACTTAACAAAATTATTCCAATGGGCCCGTCTGCACTGGCGGCGCGGCCGCCAGCGCCGAGCCAGTGTCGCGGATGGTTGGCCGTGGTCTGAGCGAACCGACGGCCCTTCCCACGCGTGCACTTTCCCGTTTCCTTGAAAGAGCGACAGATCTTATCCTGGCTTTTGCCAGTGCCTTTGCCTTTGTCTCCATCATTCCTGCGTCTTTCCAAACTAGAACTGGAGGCCCTAGAACCGGCGCCCCCCGCTAATGAAGAGACATCGGCAGCAGCGGCATTGGCTCGTTTAACAGTGCGCTCATATCCCAGAGTCTTGCCCGCATTAAGCCTGGCATGTTCATACGTGTCACGCTTGAGCTTTTCTGCGTCGGTCAAGGCTCTGCGTTGTCTGTAGCAACCGTCCGGGGTCCACGGCAGTTCTTAGGATCACGTGAGTAAGGACGGCAACTTGCTCTGTTTCTCGCGCAAACGATCGGATTGGCCCCTAGTCCGTTCCTGCGCGCCTTTTCCACGGCCACCTGCTGGGGTCTGAGATCGGCTCCGTGCCTTTCGGCCTCCGCCGTTAAGTTTCTCAGATCTCCCTCTGAGACGCGCGTTCGGGGCCGGGGCAGCACTCGAATTAGCTCCCGCAGCCGGCTGGGCCGGAGCGGCAGCTCTGGGCTTCTTATGATTAAACGGGCAACCCTGACCCGCATACGGGCAGGTCTCTCCCTTGCGCACAAATTTGCACGTCGTCTCGCCCTTCGTCGCTCCATTCTTCATAACATCCGTGGACTTCCCGAGACGCGCTGCCACTTGTGCCGCAGCGGCTTTGCCGTTGAGGCCTCGGCGGTTATCGTTGCCGTTGCCTCCGCCGCCGCCCAAACGCGTCTGTCGAGCACGTTGATTCAAAGTACCCCCATGTAGATTGAGGTCCCACTCTCTCTCTCTCTCTCTCTCTCTCTCTCTCTCTCTCTCTCTCCTCACGCAAGATCACCAATTCAATCTGGGTTGTGAGCCATTCATAGGTTCCCACGCCTTCCCCCTGGCCTGTCCGCGGACAACTTATAAAATTGACAGATCAGGTCCAACTTCTCCGGCTTCCTGCATTGCTCAATAAAGTGTGCATGGATTGAAGCTCGCATCTCATCAGACGGGGGTCGTACGCCGTAGAGTTGCTGATGCACATCTGTCCATTCATTATAGAAATGGTACAAATCAGCATCTGGGCGATTGGGGCCAATAACTACCTTGAAAATGTCACGCGACATGCGATGTTGGCCCAACTCCGATCTGACTGAACACCAATAGCAAATGGCCCGTATCATTTCGCGCCCTGTGAAGAGTCTCTGCTCATCCTGGGCGCCGAATTCCATACGATTGATCTGCTGAAGGAAGTGAGTGTGATGAATGGAAAGATTGCGATTATTACGCATTTTGTTAAATTTCTCAATCAGGTCAGTGGAGATCATGATGTCTAGGCGTTGGGAGCGACCCGGATTTCTGAGCTGTTCTTTAGTCACAGAGGGGTCCATGGCTTCCATGATCAAGAGCTGTGCTCCCCGAGTCTCAGGAGACGATCCAGCCACAGCACGGACTGTATGCATCTGCCACTCCCGTATGTTTGTAGCATCGGGAATGTTCATCAGATCGACCTTCTACTTGTTCCCAACCTGTCTCCGCTGAGCCAGAAGGGTACTCTCGTCAAGACCTCCCGGGTCATTAGGCCCACCTGGGCTCGGAGGCCCGCCGCGGCCGCCTCCACCGCCTGGGGGTCCAGAGCCCCCCGGACTCCCTGGAGGCGGCTTCTCTGACTGATCTCGGATGGCATGGGCGAGTGCTAACAAGATCTCGGTACTTGGTGCGGTACTATGGTCATCCCCATCATTGTTCGGCCCTGCCCCGCCAGGCGGCGTGGCCGCTGGCGTATGATCCTTACCTCCACCAGGCGGCTGGGCCGTTGGTGGCCTCGCTGGTCCCGCCTTGGTGAAAAGGATGATAGCTAATAAGGCCATGTCATCAGCAATGCTTGTCAACTCCGTATTGATGGGTACATTGTTCCCGGAGATGCCAGGCTCGGCCGGACCTTCGGTGGCAGGGCCTGGGATAGTAAAATGGGGATGCATGACTGACCTTACGGGCGTCTCCTGTGAAAGCTGGGGCACATCGAACAGATGGAACCTGGGCAACATGTCCAATTTTTTCTCGATACATTGGAAGGATTCCATACCCATAGTTCTCGTCATCCCTTTGGCCCTTTCGATCAAGGCCGCCTCACGGTCAGCCGCTGGCAATTGAGACCGCACATCTTGCTCTTTCTCTTTCAAGGATTCAGCGATGGCAGCCTTGAGCTCCATCACCTCTTTCTCTGATGCAGCTGCGCGTACCAACGCTTCATCTTTCTCACGAAGGTTGGCAGCTGACCTTTTCTGAGCTCAATCGAGGCTGTTCCTCAGCTTGCTCCTTCATCCGTTGCATATTACACTTGTCAGCGTGAATATCATCGAGGAGCTTCTGCTGTTGGGCCCGAGAGTTGGGATCAGCGCTGTGTCGCTGCCGTTGCTCATCCTACTCCGCCTGTTCCACGGGCAGGCTCTTTCGTTGAGTACAAGCGACGCAACGTCTCGTGTTCGTGTCAAAGTGGTTTTTACAACTTGGCGACCCACAAGTGGCGCATGTTCCGACCTTCGGATTCGAGCATATTGAACAATTCTCGTCGGTGCCCTTGCTTGATGGTCCTTGGCGCTCTCAGTGCGCGCGCATACTCCAATCAGTGGGAGGCCTGGCCAGCAAACCAACGCACCGTCAGCTCGAGCGATGGGATCTGCCGGGGAAAGGCCTTGCAGGTGTGAGCGAGCTGTGGTGGGTGCCCCTCCGACCTCCCTGGCCCCACGCTCCTCGGCCCTCCCCCCATCCTCCCCTCCTCTGCCTCACTCCCTTTGTCCGGGTCAACCTCTCCCACGAAGAGGGAGAGATTGGAGGGGAGAGAGAGAGAGAGAGACAAACGAAAACAAAACACACAAATCGAATGGCATGACAAATATATAAAATAACGAAAGGAGTGGAGGCCATGGGGCGGTCCGAAACGACAGCGGAGAGGGCGGAAGGGGGGGCAAGAGGGCAGCGAAGCCCCGCTCCACCTAGGGCATCAGAAGCCTCCTAACGAGGTCTCCCAGGAGGCCGCCGCCAGGAGGGCCGAGAGCGGCAAGCATCAACGAGGTCCTCGGACCCTTGGAGCATCGAGATCCTCGGCTCCTCGGGGAGGAGGAGGAGGAGGAGGACGACGACGAGGAAGAGGAGCGGGAGGAGGAGCGGGAGGAGGAGAGGGAGGAGAAAGAGGAGCGGCGCGGTCCAACTCCGGGGGCGGCCCGCCTGGCCAGCCGGCGACCGCCGCCTCCCCGGCCGCACCTGCCGGGGGAGGGGGGGAGGGCTCTCGAATGCGAGGACGTGGGGAGCGCACTCGCCCACCCGAGAGCCGCGCCTGGACGGCGCACCGGCCCAAGAAAAGCTGCGAGCACACGTCGGGGAGCGGCTGCCGTGCCTCGGAGCTCGACTGCCGTGCCTCGCAGCTCGGAGGTGGCGCGCGAGGGTGATCAGCAGCGCTCGCGTGCAGGAGGGAGCGAGCAGGAGCTGGCCATCGCTCGGACGTCCATTCCTTTTGCTTTTTTCGGTTTCGTGCGTGGTTTTTTTTCGCCAAACGATGAAGGATGCTCCTCGATGGTCCTCGCCGAAGTCCGAGCGATGCCAAGGGAGGGAGGAAGGGGGGAGCCTCCTGGAGGCCTCTGGGGACCTCCCCCGACCTCCCGGACCTCTCCGGGGACCCGCGGGGAGCCTCCCGGGCACCTCCGGGGGCCTCGGGGGGGGGGAGCCCGAGAGGCGCACGCGCGGAGGCGCGAGGACGACAGGGGGCCTCGAGGCGAGGGGGAGGGAGGAGGAGCAGGTGGAGGCGAGAGGGGGGAGGAGTCACGAGCACGGGGGAGGCTGCGAGGCGGTGGAAGGATGAGCAGGTTGAGCACAAGGACACTTTTGTCGCCCAGAAGACTCGAAGACGCACAGGCGGCGAGTTCGGGGTGCGAGAGGCGCGCGCAGCTCTCTCTCTCTCTCTCTCTCTTCTCTGTTTTCTCTCTCTCTCTCTCTGAGCATGTCCATGACACTCGCGTCTGGACGAGACAGAGCGTATCGTGCAGTTGATTGGCAAGATATTCCCCGAGAAGCCTGCCGAGAACAAGGCTGTTCGAGATTGGGAGCTGCCTGCTTAACCAATGGACCATGGAGCAGTTTACGCTCTCGTGGACGCCGGCGTCTGCAGTGGGCTACATGGGTGTACGCCCAGGGCCTAGAGGCAGCAGAGGGCAACACTGACCATTTGCAAAACCTGATGCGCGGCTCTCCAGCACAACGGCACGAAGCCGTTGACGACTATTTTTTGTGGTGGTGTTCCCTCCTTCTCCCTGCCCCCTTTCCTCACGCACACCACAGCGAGCCGAAGACTCCGAGCGGCCGACCCTACCACCTACTGAAAAGCAGAGAGTAAGCGCCAAAACTCAAGGAGACAAGGAAGAGAAGAGAGAAGAAGAGGAAGAGAGACAAGAGACAAGGAGGAAAGAAATAGAAAGGACAGTGCCCGACCCAACTCTTGCAGCTTTGTTCCTCCCTTCCGCTCTCCGCTCCCTCTCCCCGTGTCCTCTAGCGTGTTCGGTGTGCGCTGTGCGAGTTTAGCGTTTCCCGCCGCCCATCTGTGTACACCGGCTGCGTTCTGGCGCAAGTACATTCCACATACGCACATGTCATTGACGTTCACTGTCAATTCAATGTGTGCCAGTGCGCCGTCTAAGCGCGGCTTTTCTCTCGCTCACATTCCCTCTCTCTCTCTCGCTCTCTTTATTGTTTTTTCCTTCTTCTTCTTTTTTTTTTCTCTCTCTCTCTCTCTCTCTCGCTCATCACCAACAGCATCACAGAATCATCGTCGCAATCTTCATCGGCGTCGATATTAGAAATGACTGCATCACATGATCAGATAAATATAATCGCCTGGGTGGCCCACAATTCGCATAGCTGCTTGGGCATTCGCAAATAAACCGGCAACGTGAAACTTGTTGTCGCTTAAGCGCAATGTATTGCTGACTGGTTACTGCCTGCTGCCAATCATACTTTGCCTGCCAAATGTCGAACACACCCACCCTAAACAACATGCGCAAACAAGCAAAAGGACACATAACAATCCGACACGGCACTGCGCGGCATTGAAGCAGCAACATGGGTTGCGCGGAGGTGTGGTATTAGTGGCGCCGCTGGTTGCCCAAAGGTGAGTCATGGCTTTCGCCGAGATCTGCTACTGATTGCACGGAAGGTTGTCCCGAAGGCCGCCATACTCTGCGCCATTGGTGGCGCATAGATTGCGCAAAGATCTGTGATCGGTTGCGAAAGAGGGTGTGCCGAGGTCTGCTACTGATTACGTTACAGGTGGGCTGGAGGCTACCAAAGGTTGCGCACAGGGTGCTCAGGTTGCAACTTAGGTTCCGCCGAGCTCTGCCGTTGTTAGCGGCACAAGCTTCGCCGAATTATGACAGTGGTTGGGCCCTTGGCTGCGCGATACGTAGTGCGCCATGGGTTGCGCCTCGACGTGCTGTCTGTTGCGACATGACTTGCGAAGAGGTTGCGCCATTGGTTGCACCATCAAATAGCGCACGCATGATCTCACAATTAGGTACGCCGTGTCCCCCTTCTGATAGGTCGCCCCGCCAAACGATTCCCTCAGCAGCACGTGCGAAGACAGGACACAACACGACATGGGGCCAACCGAACTACAAACTGAAATGACGATACGTTCGCGGCACTGGCGCGCGGGGAACGGACGCACGAACTAGACCCCAACGGACCGACGGGTTTCTGGCAACGCTCGTGCGCGATTGCGATCTTGCCGCCTTCTCGGCGGCGTCGGTCGCAAGAATCGTGGCCCGAGACACGTGCGCGACCCAGGGGGGTGGCAGGGGACGCACTGGTAACAAGAAGCGGGGGCCAAGAAACCCAGGGAGACACCATGGCCCCGGAAGTGATGTCCCCCCCCCCCCGTAGGTCGACACCCGCGCCCACGACCTCTCTGATACCACTGCAGCCCCCGCCCCACTAGAACCCTGCGTGCGCGCTCGAACCCCACTCGAACCTTACTCGAACTCCCCCCCTCGAGCAAATGTTGGCGCGAGAGTTTAGGGGCAAACGTTGTGTAGCCGGCCAAACTTCAAAGGACCAAAATCGCTCCTATTTCGCTCGCGAGCACCAGCGGAACCAACTCGCATTGTAGCGGCTCACGTCAGGCAAGCCTGGGGTGAAATGCGAGTGGTGCTCATATGTGGACAATGCTCCTGTACGTTGTGATCATGACACATGTAATGGTGCTTTCTTTCGGCGGTGGACAAACCTCCCTTTAGTAGACCTCCCCTTAGTGAAAACGGCCTGGGACCGAAATCGACGGACCTGGACCCGCAAAAATGACGGCCGCGACGCCCTCTCGCGAACCGAAAACGGCAGGGTCAGGGTAGGAAGTCTGTCCAACCCCGATTATTCATCTTGCATTCTTCGTCCGGAATGCTGCGTCACTCACCAACACGTCTCTAGATACGGACGACATGGAGTCTGTGCGTCTCAATTGCGACAGGCGCCCATTGACACGAACAAGTCTGACTCGGACGGAAGACCTTGTCGTACAGTCTTGGGCGGAAACTGGCCGAGACAAACCAAATGGTGTGCACCGCTAGTGATGGTTTTGCAAGCTGCCGTGAACAACGTATCGACGGAACGGAGACGCAAGAATCCATGATCCTGTGAAGACGCACGATACAGTAGGGGCCCGTCCACAAGAAACCTTCCACGATAATCCCAACCCTGCGACCCCAGGACGTCCATCGGTTTTCGGTGTTGGAACGTCGCGCTCTCCATGGCAAAACCATCGAAGCCCAAGAAACCCAGGGCACCCTGGAGGCAAGCAGGGAGTTTCTTGGCATGGGCCCCCACTGCACAGGGAAACTGGAAAAAGTGCAAGTTGGGAAATCAGTGAAAGTGGAAGTGGCCAGGGCTGGAAACGCTGGCAAGGGGGTGAAGCGAGCCCGAAGGAGTAGGGATGCGGTCGCCAGCGCTGTCAAAAATGCGGGAACGTCGCGCTCTCCGTGGCAATCCCAGGGCACCCTGGAGGCAAGCAGGAAGTTTCTTGGCATGGGCCCCCACTGCACAGGGAAGCTGGAAAAACAACACGTTGGAAAATCAGTGAAAGTGGAAGTGGCCAGGGCTGGAAACGCAGGCAGGGGGTGAGGCGATCCCGAAGGAGTAGGGATGCTGTCTCCAGGGCTGTAAAACATGTGGGAACGTCGCGCTCTCCATGGCGAAACCATCGAAGCCAAAGAATCCAGGGCACCCTGGAGGCAAGCAGGGTGTTTCTTGGCATGGGCCTCCACTGCAAGAGGAGGAGGAGGAGGAGGAGGAGGAGGAGGAGGAGGAGGAGGAGGAGAAGGGGGAGGAGGAAGAAGAGGAGGAGGAGGAGGAGGGAAAGGAGGAGGGGGAGGAGGGGAGGAGGAGGAGGAGGAGGAGGAGGAGGAGGAGGAGGAGGAGGAGGAGGAGGAGGAGGAGGGAGGAGGGGGAGGAGGAGGAGGCTGAGGAGGAGGAGGAGGAGGCCAGCAGGGTGTTTCTTGGCATGCCCCCCCCCCACTGTTAAGGTTAGCGCAGCGCTGACAGGGGAACGCCGCGCAGCCTGGCCACGGCTGTGAAGCACAGCGGCCACAGGCTGAGCACAGTGCTACAGCCCCTAAACCAGAGCTGGACCTAAACGTTGTGTCTCGTTTTGTGTTCGTTGTGTGTTCCGGTTTGCTCTGCCTGTTTTACCTTAACCTCCCTGCCAATACGAAAAACAATACACAGCCGAAGTCCAGCAAAACAGCGTTTAGGTGCAACCCTGCCCTAAACAATGATTGATTTGAAGCAGCTTGGCATCTCCATACTACGAACAAAATGCCAGGTGAATGGAATCACCGAGCTGTGGAATGCTGAAGTGGTCCAACTGAATAATTACCAGAAGGGGGGTGGCAGAGCGGACGACAACTATGCGGGCGAGCGCGACGTGAAGCGTAACCTGTGGCGCAACCGAAGACGTTACACCTTTCACAGTCGATGGAGATACAGAAACGCGCGTAGCGCAACCTATGCCGAAAATGATGTCAGAGTCTACGGCACGACCAATGGCGCAACCCCTGGGCCAACTTCAACACAACCTCGAGATGGTACGGCACAAACATGCGGCGAAACCTGTGGCGCAACATGTTGGCGCATGATGAGCCGTGCCGTGCCGTACCGCGCCCTGTGCCGTGTGCAGCGCCCTGCGCTTTTGTAGAGCGTGCCTTGCCCTGTGCCGTGCCGTGCTGCGCCCTGTGTCCGACATGCAATAGGGGCCAGACCACAAGACACCTTGCACGAGAATCCCAACCCTGCGACCCCAGGACGTCCACTGGTTTTCTGATATGGGAACGTCGCGCTCTCCATGGCAAAACCATCGAAGCCCAGGAAGCCCAGGGCACCCTGGAGGCAAGCAGGGTGTTTCTTCTTGGCGTGGGTCTCCACTGTATGATTCCGTTCCCCACGTGGCCGTGCCGTGCGCACTGAACGCTGCCACCAACCGCCCAAGTCGCACTGTCAGGAGCCCGACCCCGACTCCCCCGCCCCCCCCCAAAAAAGGGCACCCTCCGGAGCCCACGCGTCGCCGCCCATGGCGGGTGCCACCGGGGGAGCCGCGGAGGTCTGCAGAGCTGCGCCGTGCAGGTGAAGGTCGGCATCGCCTGCAACAGGCCGAAGAGGACGATGACAGAGCATGACGAAAGTATGACGAAGACAGGCGGACGAAGACAATATTGGAGGACGCAAGTATGACGGAACGCCGACGGCACGGGAAAATGCTCTAACAACAAAATTGAAGGGCGCGCGACCACATAGCTTGACACGGCTCGGCCCCAACCACGCTGCGAATAGGCAAACAGGGAACCCCACGCACGCCAACCTGCGATAGGGAAACTCATGCAGCGCACCGAAGCCTGAAAGTGGAAGCGGCCGTGCTGCCTGCGAATAGCCCCTGAGGCTCAAACGGCTAACGATACGTCATTCACACGCACAGCACACGACGAGAGGAGGCGAGGTAAAGGAGGACGACACACACACACACACACTCACTTTTGGCGCCGCAGCCTCGCGCGCAGCGACGAGGCGTAGAAAGTCGGGAGAACAGAGCAGCGGACGCGCGCGGCCCGCCCCCCGAGGGGATCAACCATGCCGTGCACATGATCACCTGGGCGCAGGCAGCGCGGGCGAAGAGGGGAGACGAAGACGAAGAGATGCAACGACAAGCCAATGCGACAGCACGTGTTGGAAGGCGAGGCAACGCGGAACCAGGAAGGCCGGCAAGGACGAGAGACAAGGCAGGTTAGGAAACGCAGTACCGACAGCAGGCGGACAAAGCGGCAGTATAGGCCTCCTAGATGGGGTCCGAATAGATGGGGTCGGAAGACCGCGTCGCATGCGCCACATCACCGATACATCGGCGATGCACCGGCGATGCAATGGCGATGGATCGGCGATGCATCGGCGGTGCACCAGCGATGCATCGCCGACGTCGGCGTGGAGAAAATCGGGCTCCGCATTGAGCCACATCGTCTAATTATGCATCGGCGATGCGGCGCGGTCCTCCGACCCCATCTACTCCGACCCCATCTGGGAGGCCTAGAACTTTGGAACCGAGCGGCAAGCAAGGAGGCGGCGGAAGCGGCCGAATGGCCCCGCGGCGGGCCTGAAGGCAGAAGGGCGAAGTGGCGGCCCCACAGCGGGGGGGGCGGCGCGGTGGAGCCGCGGAGGGGAAGCGCAAGGCAGGGCAGCAGCGTAAGCGCGGGGCCCTTGAAACGGGGTGGCACGGAGGTGCCGGCAAGAAGGGGCACAGACAACACACACACACACGCACGAACGCACACACACACAAACACAAACACACGCACACACACACTCACGCACGCACGCACGCACACACAGACAAACGCACACACGCCTTCACACACGCACGCACGCCCGCATGAACACGCACACACAGACAAACACCGACACACACACACACACACGCGCGCGCACGCAAGCATGCACACACACACACAAAAGCACGCACCCGTACACAAACGCACACACACACACACATTGTGGGCGTCAGCGTGGCGAAACGTAGCGCCAGCCTGTCCAAAAGTCCGCGGCCGCGCGAGTTGCGGCTGGGAAGGAAGTGGCTGTGCCACACACACACACACATACACAACACCACCACACGAACGAGACAGGAATGGACAGTGCCTCTCTTGAGCCGAGGCATGCATGGTCACGAGGACGAACAAAATTTGAAGCGGGCGCACTGGCTCAAGATGGAAACATTCCCTTAGAGCTGTTACTTTTAACCCCCTCTGGGAGGGCGCCGCCAGGCGCTGACGAAAGGCCCAGGCAAAGGAGAACGGGGCAGCAAACGACGGTCACACAAATCAAGCCCGCGAAGGGCCGTGACTACCGACGGTGCGGAGAAGAGATAGCGGAAGGAGATTCAAACAGTGGCTCTGAGCCATGTGAAGCCGAAACTGCGCAACCCATGAAATGATGTGCTTGCGTGGGCCAATGTACAGTAAAACACGTTGGATGGTCTAGGTAAAACACGTTGGACTGTAAACCACGTCAAAAACCAAGAGGCGCACATTGGATGAACTAGAGGGGAATGCGCCAAAATGCATACGGTCTGCCAAACTAAGCTCGGCCAGCCTAGCCTGGCTGAACGAAGTCGCACTAGGATCGCACTATCACCAGCGACCAAGACCTCAAGCGCAGCGGGCATGTGCAACCAGTCGCCGTTGACGGCGCGACCGCCAGCAACGCTGGCGACAACTCCACGACCACCCAGCACAAAACACCCAACAATCACGGCACAGAGCGGATTCGCTACACCACTTGATCTTGCAAAGAAAGAACCTAGCGAGCCGCCGCCCCCGCGACCACTTGAGCAGGTAGCCTCGCCAAGGGATTTGGATGTAGAGACAGAGAAAACAAACAGCCAACACTCGAAACATTCTCGAACAGTCCAGACGCCTCCACCCCGCAGATCAAAACACTCGGATGCCTGACTCGGCTCACCAACATAACCCACGACAGGTGCTGCGGGCTCCGGGCGCACACACACACACACCGATGAGGCCGGCGCGCGGGTCCCAAATGCGGTGAAACCGCACGCGTGGAGACTCACCTGTGGACAGCGTGCGCGTGGAACCCAACGCGCACGGAGTCTCATGCCTGTGAACTCCATGTCCGCGGCGAGCGAAGGGGGGGAAATGGGAAGGAGGAGAAGACCTCCTCAGAAGGCGGCGGGACTCCTTCGAAGCCCTCGCCGCCTTCTGAGAAAAATGCAAAACTCCTCGAGAGGCCGGGGGGCTCCCGAGCCTTCCGGGGAGGCCTGCTCCTTCTCGCTTCCCCCCCTCGCTCGCCGCCGACCATGCGCCATCGCTCGGACGTCCATTCCCTGTTTTTTTTCTGTTTCGTGCGTGGCTTGTTCGCCAAATGATCAAGGATGCTCCTCGATGGTCCTCGCCGAAGGAAAACTGCACACGTCCGAGCGATGCCAAGACCATGCGCGTGAGGCCCTCGCGTCTGAAGCCGCGCGCGCGCGCGTGCGCCGAATTGACCCGAATTTCGGGTTGGGGGGGGTACGGGGACCATGTGTTTTTTCGACGTTCCCCGATCCCCCCCCCACTGGAAATGGAGGGCAAATTGAGGCCTTCGGGTTGGGTTGGGGTGGTTTGGTGGGTGGTGACAAGCACGCTTCCCTCCCGCTCGCATCTTGCTGTGCCCAAGCGATGCGGACGCGACTGCAGCGAGCACACCTGGCACTGGCTGGCGCACCTGTGCGGCTGCGCTGGCGCGGGCAAGCTCGCGCGCGCAGCGGTCAGCTGGTTTGGCACAGCCGACGCGGTCAAGGTGGCGCTTACCGATGGGAACTTCCCAGCGCGTCTCAAAGGCCGCGCTGGCGGGCGGGTAGATCAGTGCGGGTCGGTGACTCGAGCAGGCGCAGTGGCATGATGACGTCGAAAACAGCGGCAACGATGATGTTAGTAGCGATGGTAGTGGCGGTGATGACGATGACGACGGCAAGGCCAATGACGCCGCCGATGCTGGTGACGACACTAACGAAGATGATGTCCATGTGCCGGTGATGAAAAAGCTTGTGCTGATGCCGGCTGCAGGGGCGGCGATTGACGATGACGATAAAAAACTGCGGCGATGCGATGGTGCTGGTAAGGGTGATGATGCAGTGCGCGCGCGTGCGCAGATATCCAAGAAAACTGCCATGCCGTTTGAAAACCTGTTGGTGTTTCATATGGGTTTGAAGAAATCTAAAGACAACGGTTTTGAAGAAATCAAAAACCGAAGACAGACGCGCCTGGCGGCACGCTCATGTGGCCCTCATGATATTACGTGAAAGTGTTGAGTCTGACTTCGATACGTGCGCGCGCGTGTAGCCTTTGTTGTATTGCTCGCGCGGGGTTCGTGGAAATATACCTTGTCAGATGAACGAACGTGCGCGCGTAAATTGTTTGACAGGGGCGACGGGGGAACCCAATACCGGCTGGCCTGGGATGGTCTGAATTCGTATGGAAGATGAACGGTGAGGCAGGTGAGGCAGAGTCATACGAAATTCGCAGTGTCCCAGTGGAGGGCCATGAACCCTGGGTTCGGGAGGGTGGGGGAGACATCACTTCTCCTGAAAGGAGAACCTATGGTGAACAATCTACGCCGTGCAATTTGCGCGCTCCAGTAGATGCGGTACAATATGTATGTGGCAGAGACGTCGAACCCCGCGTCCAAACTCATGTCCAAACGTGGCGGCGGCGACGGCGGCAACTTCAGAGCCCACTTGCAACCTCACGTCCAAGCCTGGCCAGTGAAGAGAACTGCCCGACCGCAAACAGAAGGGCCAGCTCCTTCGAGCAAATGTAAGAAGTCCTGAAGAGCAAGGCTAGGTAGCTGAGCAAGTCCCCCCAGAACAACAATGGACACTCCCGGTACACATACCGAAGCAAGGCCTCCATCAACCGATTCTCCTTCGGGTTCAGCTTGAGCATGTCCATCGACTGTCCTGCGGTCGACTCTGTTCCAAGAAATGCGTGGGATGCTACCGCAGGAAGGCGACAAACCCGTGGCACGGTGCTGACGACAAGTCGCGTATCAGAACCAGCCCCGCAGTGTCAGCAAGCCGCAGATTGCGAGGCCCGCAGGTTGCAGACGCAATCACAACGCAATTCTCGAACATACGATGAGAAAGACAGGAGCGGAGAGTCGCGGAAGTAATCGCGGGCCGTTTCGAAGGCAATTGGTGAGGTGGACCCCAGCCTGGACACGCTGGGGGGGCAGGCTGGCAAGCCTGCGCTGGATCGAATCGCTAAGTCGTGTCGGATCGGAAACGGGTCGCATCGCCAGCGAATCGTCGCGAATCGCGTCGAGCTACGATCGCCGCGCCTGGTTCTGCCTGGCCCTTGGCCGGTGAACCGAGCCGAACCGGATCGAATCGAAGCGGAATCGCGGCCCTGGCTGGCGAATCGAGCCGCGCCGAATCGGATCTTCGGCGGCCCTGGCTGGCGAGAAGCAACGGTGCAGCCTTCCGTCCGACCCGACGGCGCGCCCAGGCACCCCGCGCGCTCTCTGCCACAGCACGGCTCGCCTGGCCAGCGGCGGACGGGCAGAAGCGCGTGCGGGAGTGGGGCACGGCCGCCCGCGAGGCGGGCCGAGCCCTGCCGTCGGCACGCGACGGAAGGATGCGCGGCAAGGATGCAATGGCCCTGGGCGCCTATTCCAGAGCTTCTCGAGCGGGGTGCGGCCAGCGAAAGTGGTCAAGGATGGGCCCAGGAGGCAAGGATGCAAGGGCACCCTTGGGAAAGTCGCTCGTCCTTACTGCGCGGGTCGACTGTGCCCTCTGCCATCTGGACAGCTCGTCCTGCGCCATCCCTCCTCCGCCCGGCCTCGGAGCGCGGAGGATCCATCTGCGCAGGTGGTGATCAGAGCCATGCGTGCGCTTCACGCATCCAGTGCCCAGGGCAGGGCAACGCCAAGGCACGCGGGTGCTGTTCGCGATGCCTCCAGGCGTCCTCGTCGAGACCTCTCTTGGGTGCGCTGTTCGGGGCTTCGCGGGGGACCATAGGGGTGCCTCTTGGGGCGCCCTTTCGGGCTCCTCGGGACGGGACGCCTGGGGCAGCGTAGGCATCACTGAGGAGTTCTTGGGGCTGCCTTGGGGGATCTTGGGGTGGTCGGCGGGAGGGTGGGGGGCCTGGGGCCATTGCGGGCAAGTCACGGTCCGTCGTCCTGCGATGGCGGGGCGGCATCGGGGCAGAATGACCTATGCAACGCTGTCTGCACGCGGCCCGGTCCCAATCTCGAAGTCAAGGCGAGCGCACAGAAAGTGTGGAGACACACAATCAAAACGCATCCACGATAATCGAGAGGGCGTGCAGGGAGGGAGAAGTATGACACATAACAAAACAACAAGAGAGAGAGAGGCTTATATGTGTACATAGAGAGAGGGAGAGAGAGAGAGAGATAGACATTGAAAATTACCCCGGCGAGAAACCCAACCATATGCCATTGTGAAGAACACGTTGTGGGTGCCGCTTTCGGTGGAGCTCCCTATGGGGCCACGAAACGCTGTACCCAGTGGGGGGACGCATGCGGACGGTGCCTCTGGGGCTTGGTGGAACTCCCAACCAATGGGGCCGCGAAATGCACTACTGGAGACGCATACGGGTCGTGCTACGGGGGTCTTTCTGTGGAGCTCCCTGTGTGGCCACGAAGCGCTGTACTGGGTGGTGGCTGACGCATGCGGGCGATGCCACTGGGGCCTTCATTGGAAGTCCCTATGGGCCCACCAGACGCTGTACTGGGGGGTGGCTGATGCATGCGGGCGTTGCCACTGGGGCCTTCGGTGGAGCTCCCGATGGGACCACACAGCGCTGAAATGGGTGGTGGCTGACGCATGCGGGCGGTGCCACTGGGGCCTTCGGTGGATTTCCCGATGGGACCACGACGCGCTGCACGGGGTAGTGGCTGACGCATGCGGGCGGTGCCACTGGGGCCGTCGGTGGCGCCCCTACGCTGTACGTACTGGGTGGTGGCTAGCGCATGCGGGCGGTCCCAGTGTGACCTTCGGCGAAGCTCCCGATGGGACCACGCAGCGCTGTACTGGGTGGTGGCTGACGCATGCGGGCGGTTCTTCTGGGGCCTTCGGTGGAACCCCCTATGGGGCCACGAAGCGCTGTGCTGGGTGGCCGCTGACGCATGCGGGCGGTGCCACTGGGGCCTTCGGTGGAAGTCCCTATGGGCCCACCAGGCGCTGTACTGGGTGGTGGCTGACGCATGCAGGCGGTGCCACTGGGGCCTTCGGTGGAAGTCCCCATGGGACCACGATGCGCTGTACGGGGTTGTGGCTGACGCATGCGGGCGGTGCCACTGGGGCCTTCGGTGGAGCCCCGTATGGGGCCCACGAAACGATGTGCTGGGTGGTGGCTGAAAAACGCGGGCGGTGCCAATGGGACCTTCGGTGGTTTTCCCGATGGGGCCACGAAGCGTGTGAGGGGCGGGTGACGGGAGGACGGAGGAGGACGAGGAGGAGGAGGAGGAGAAGGAAGAGGAGGAGGAAATGAGGAGAAGTAACGCGGTGACCGTCTCTTCAGAAAGAGGACCGACCCATCACCACAGGATGGTGAAGCAAAACAACAGCAACAAAAAACGCGAGGACGCAAAGGCAAACTCCGGGTGAAAAGGACGCACAGACGAGGTAACTCTTAGACCTCCCTGAAAGCAGCGGCGCGATAAAACTAGATCATGGCCTCCTGCAGCTGCGGATAAGAATATGGGCGCGGCGAGGTCGTCGGCACTGTGCAAGGCCATGAAAAAAACGCCGCAAGCGCCGACATTTACACATTACACAACGAGCCCGCCGCAGACACCGATTTGTTTGTCGAAAAAATGCGGGCGGGTCGCGGGCGGGTCGCGGGGCGTTGGGCGGGTCGCGGGTGGGCCGCGAAAGGGGCGGCGACCACGACGGCAACAAACAGAATCCGGGCCACGGAATGTCATTTCACTCGCGCAACCAGGGATGTTGTAAAAACGCTCGGCTCTCTGCCTCTGGCAGAACAATGAAATGTTGGAGGTCAGCGCGGTTCTCTCGGATCGGCGCTGGACCCCGCCCCGGAAAGGAGATAGCGCAGCGGCCCGGAATAGCCCGATGAACAGATCAGGATGATGAACAGATCTTGCGCACACGAGCAGCGCCCGACGACCGTGCACTCCAATACGCCAGTCTGCGTCGCCAGATGCCCGCGCACAGTTCACGCTCGGACAGCAAAAAAGGAGGGGGCGGGATGTGATGTACTTGCGCGTGGTGTTACTAGGATCTCAGGAGGAACAGGGGTAAGCCAGCCAGAGCAGCACATGGCAGAGGCGGGCGCACGAATGAATCGCGGCGAAGAGGAGAGGAGCTCAATGGAAACGCGCGTGCACGCATACCGCTACGAATTCACGGCCCCCAGAAATCTCTGTCCCGTCAGCCTCGCAGCAACTGGCCCCAAACGTCGGCGTGTTGGCCACTGCCTGGCCGCACTGCGCACCGCGTGAGCGGCCATAGTCGCCTCCCCACTTGCGACGCACATCGCGCACCGAATCGAACCACCTCCACCATGATGCCCACCTTCGCCCTGCGCTCTGCCACCCCATCCACCGCCAAGGCTGGATGGCCCGCCTAGCGAATATCGCAGCCCATTGCTTTCGTGCCCTAGCGATTGATCTGGATCTGCGCCTCCTGTCGCGCCCCCTCCCCCCTGGTCTCACTCAGCAAACAATCGCGCGTTGACCTCGCATCTACGACGCATAGCCCGTGCGCATCATCTCCGCGCCCCTCCCCATCGATGTTCGTTCCGCCCAGCAAGTGACTGCGGTTTCCGACGACCGCGCCGCCTTTCCCGCTCGCCGAGCCTGAAAACAAAGCAGGCAAACTCATTGCATAAAGCGACCATCCATCCGAGCTCCACAACCCCGGCTTTCAGAGACAGCGTCTCCACGTGCAAGGTAGAAACCACCCCGCGAGTCATCCCTGAGCACCTCCAAGCCAACACGCTGGCTGGCTGTCGCTATCCCTTGCAAGCCCCACGCGTGGTAGCCAGAACTGCATATGGAACTCGACATCCACCCAAACTGCTGCTGTGCCCACTTGCATGAAACACCGAGGCCCACAGCAGCATCCCCGCTGGCTCTCCCGCGCGCTTCACCAGCTTGTCAATATCCTCGACGTCGTCGCAGGCCCGCCTGCTCGGGTAAGCTGCATCTCCAGGCGCCACCTTTCGCGTGAACCAATTCGACAAACCGAGAACTGTGCGAACTTGACTGCGTTCTCCCGCCGCGCACGCATCACCTCCAAGCCTCCCCCGAGCCACCTTGACGGGCGATGGCTTCTCCTCGACGAACTTATTCATGGGCGCGTGGAAGATGCACTCGGCGCCCTGGGCGCAGCGCCGGTCTCTGAGTTTGGCCCCATCGGAGTCCTTCGCAGAGAGACTCCGCCTCCCCGAATTTCCTTCGCACCCGCAGTCGGGCCAGATGTTCTCGCCGACGGCGACTTCCGACATCGAAGATGTCATCCACCTCGAAGACAGGGGCGCCCCCCACGCCCCGTCGCGCTTGACCCCCCGGGCCCGCAACTCCACGCCGCCCCGAGGTCTGCCTGCCAGCCTCACCAGAGCTGAACCCGCACCCCCGGCAGAGAGCAGCATGAACACGGTCGGGCCCGAAGTACCCAGACGGCATCCGAACTACACGAGGTCTCTCCTGAGGCCCTTCCTGGAGCGCACGGGGGCGTCTCCGAGACCATGCCCCCCGATGCGGGCTCGACGAGCAGGCCAGGCCCCATGCCCAGAGGTCCACTTCTGCGCTGCCCTGCGCGCGCCTCCCATCCTCCCTCGCCAGCTCGGCGGACCGCAAGAAGGCGGTCCACAAATCTCAGGTCGCAGCGGCGATCTTCAAGACCTCCATCAACGAACTTGCGGTGGCAGTAGGAGCTGAGCGCGCCGGGATCAGAGGGGCTGGATCTTGATCTCCACGAACACACCATCGGCTCTCGAAGCCAAGCGGCGCTCCCAGCTGCCCCGAAGGCATCTTCCGACGGACGATTCTCGAAGGAATGATGCGACCCCCTTCCTCGCCGCGCAAGGCCTTCTCGCGCCTTGCGAGTCTAGCTCAGGGCCCGCGCGTGCACGCCACCAGAAGCCACTCGGCGGTGTCTGCCTGGATCCACTGGAGCCACCCCCTTCGGCATGTGTCCTTCTTGCACTTCACTCCGCCTCGCTTCTTGGCGAAGTGCACGTCGTCCCCGCTTGAAACCCGGGCCGCTGCCCCGATGAAGAAGACGTTCTCTTCTGCCCCCCCCCCAGTCCAGGGCCGCCCTCATCTCACCCTCAGTCCCGGGGCCTGGCTTGAGCAGCGTCGCCAGTCCTCCCAGGTTCAGCCTCTGGGCCCCCGCTGCGACGCGCTCGACGGCCGCCGCTGCGAGACGGCAGGGCATTCGTGCAATCGGTACCTGATTTTGTCGCCCGCACCTAGATCACATGTTTTGCGCAGTCCGTCGGTCTGGCACCCAGCCTGACGAAGACGAGCCCCAGCCCCACGGGTGCAACAAGCTACGCTTTCGATAGCCCCTGCCTCCTGAAACATCCGTTTCTTCTGCATGCGGGCGGCATTGATGCCCCCGCCCAGCGGGGTCTGGGGCCGCTCTCTACCGAGTGCAAGCCCACGACCCATTCCATATACATCCAGGTCCATCCCTAGCTTGCCCGGCACGTTCTCGACACTCTTGGCCCTTGACCACCGCCCTGGCTGCGCGCTCGAGGAACCCCCCCCATCCTCCTCCTCGGAGTGAATGCTGCTCTCAGCCCGGACATACCGTTCGAACTGTTCAGATTGAGCCTCGCGCGCCTCCTGCTTGACTGCCTGGCGCATGCCCCCATCCGCTTGGCTCCCCTCGCGCCCCCCGCCCTCTCCTGCAGGCCCTGCTCGCTGCCCTTCAGGCAGCTGCGGAAGTGGTTGTTGAGCAGCTGGAGACGCGACCCCGCGACCCTGCGGTCTCTCCCAGCCGACAGCGATAATTGCGACGATGAAGCGAGCCTCGAATGGCAAGCCTGAGCGAAGAATCGGTTCGTCAACCGCTCGTCGGCCGGGGGGGTCATTCTCAGGTGACTGCATGGACGTCCATCTACTTACCCAGGGTCCATATGCGGAAATGCAGCGCGCTCATCGACTCCAGCTGGCGGCCCATCGAGCCATGATGGAGGTGGGCGCTCGTGGGCCCGCGAAGCGCGCTCTGGCAAGTGGAGGTAGACCTCGATTGCAACGCCAGTCTGTTGATTGGGCAAGGGCGTAGAGGGAGTTCGCAAAGGACAACGGGGACAAGTGGTGCCCCGACTACATGGAGGAGAAATTGGCTGGGTCATGAGTGGCGCCCCTGCTCGCAGAGACCCAGCCCGGGTGAACCGCGAGGGCGAGTGCTGCGGCAAGGCAGCCTTGAGAAGGCATGCTTGGCCACTAGTGGAGAAGAGCCGAACTTCTCAGCGCGCGCTATGACTATCTCCCGGACCAGCTAAGCAGGCGCGGGAAGAGACATGGATTCTCCGGCCGCGCTGCTGACGGCCCCCCCCAACGGGCCCGCGGCGGAGATCGGGGGCTCAGCGCCCCGCCTGGCCCAGTCGCTAAACCTGCCCCAGCTCGCGAAGTCCAAGAAGTGCGACCTGATCCACCGAAGTTTGTTCGGCATCCGCTTTGCGGCTCCGTCGTGACCCCCACTGGTGCCACCTTTCCCAGTCGGCGGCAAACGTCTCCTATCTTTGCCACGAGGTGGTCGCGCATGAGCTGCATGTCCTGCCGCTTGGCGCCCTGGGCCTGCGCCCCTGCCCTGGGGGCGTTTTGCGCTGCGGCGGCGCGCTCATTCTGCAACTGGGACTTGAGCTCCTGGCACGAACCTCGACATCACCGATCTCGAACATGTCCCCGTCGAAAGAATTCCGGCACTGCGCCCTTGCGCAAATTGGCCAGGTCAATGCCGACCACGGGCTCAAACTGCTTCGACGTGGATGTTCCGCTTTCCTTGCCCTTGTCCTTGTCCCCTGCCTGGTCATGTTGTTCTCCCGCTGCAGGCCCGCCGCGGCGTGCCCGGGGGGCCCATGGCCCCGAAGATAGAATTTGGATTGCCTCGACCTCGCGCGCTGCCACGCGGCAAGGGACGCGGGCGTCTGTCAGCCATGTCTCCGCGCCGACCACCTTCTCAACTCATGAGTTGAACGCTGCCTGTGCTCACCGGAAGCGCACGCATGCCGCTGATACTTTCTGCGCGCCGAGCTGGTTATGCCGCGGTTTCTGTTCGTTCGGGACGAGATGGGCACCCAGCTCCTGGACTGCTGCCCGTTGCTTGGACGATGCTGCACTGTGGCAGCCACTTGCCGCTGCGTGGAGTTGAGTCAGCGTCGTTCCCAGGGCGCGCCAAGGAACCGTTGGACAGGGCCACAGTGATGCTGTGCCCCTGTGCTCCGCTGCCTACAAACGAAGGCGCCCAACTGTCGGTCCAGCCAAGCCAGGGGCAGTCGGCCCAGCCAGCCTGGGGAAAGGGGGTTTGGCGGCAGGTCGAAGGCGATGGGCGCAGCGTCGGGCGCCCGCGAACGAATGCAGGGGCCAACGCAGACGTTGACAAGGTGCCACGCTCGGGAGAGTCAACCTCGCCTCGGGTGTCGGATCCAGGTGTGGCTTCGCCTGGCACCTTATGCGAATCAGATGCTTGTTGGACGGGTCCTCTGTGAGGTTGGTGCGTTTGTGACGGATCCGAGTGGCGGGGAAAATAACGTGTTTGGCACAGGTCCTAATGGACCACTGTACCCTCGTAAAATACAAACTAGAGGCAGCGTTGGACTCCGAGAGCGACTTACTCAAGGGCACGGAGCATGCGCGACAGGGTGGTCGGCGCCTCCCAGAATTTTACGCAGGCGCTCGTTCTAGAGTTTTGCTTAGGCGGCCCCTCCAGCATTTTACCTCCGGCGGCTCCTTCTAAAACTGTTTTTGCTGAGCTGTCCCTCTGGGTTCTCTGCGTTTTGGCCGTCCTGCGTTCTGATCACTGGACCCCGCCGTCGGCGGCACATTCTTGAGGTCCAGACCTCGGTCATGCGTTGATTCAGTCGCGTCCCAAGCCCTAGCAATTTCAGTCACGCTTCCGATCCAGGCGCATCGTACCTACTTTACGTGACTGTCTGTGTTTGGGGATGACGCGCACGGGGCGACCATTGTCTCCGCCCCGTTCCTGCTGCCTCACAGTCGTCCAGCCGAAGTCCCCAGCGATTAAGCCCCAGGGCGTGCCCACGCCAGCACTCACCCTTAGAGTAAAGTGTCCACGGGTCGCTGCAGGAGGGCCGCTTGATATGCTTTGTTGCCTTGTTGGCCGTCCGCGACCTGCTGGTTCCTCGCCCATCGCGCGTTCGGCCATGGCCTCCCACAGACACTGGGCCTTTGCTGCTGCTGACTCGGAGAAATCGTCCCCCCGCGCTGTTGGGGGGATCCAGACCTGGGGCGAAACAAGCCGAAAGGATGGAGTGACAGCCATGGACTAGAGGCCTCCGTGTGAACCAACGGGCTTCAAACACCTTGAGCGAGAATGGCTACGGAGGAGAGGGGCAAGGGAAAGAAGGGGGAGGGGAGAGAGGAGGGGAGAGGAGGAGGAGGAGGAGGAGGAGGAGGAGGAGGAGGAAGAGGTAGAGCAGGAGGCAAAGCAGGGGGAGGAGGCGGAGGAGGAGTAGGGGGAGGTGGAGGTTCGGGACAAGGAACACGGAGCAGGAGAAGGAGGAGGACCGACCCCCAGACGACCCCGCGTGACCGCACGTGAGCTGAGCCGGCCACCGCCCCCCGACGCTGCGCCCGAGGGCGCGCCCGCGCCTCGGCACCTCGTCCCCGGCGGGGCCCTCCTCGCCCAGGGTGCCCTCGGGGAGCCCTGCGCGGGGCGGGCGCTGTCCCGCGGCCCGGGCCGGGTTCGTGCCCACCGTACAGTCACTCGCTCGCTCGCCCACTCGCGCGCTCAGCCACCAACTCGCTCGCTCGTTGGCGCGCGTTTCCTCCTCCTCCTCCTCCTCCTCCTCCTCCTCCGCCTCCTCCGCCTCCCGCTGCTGCTGGTGCTGGTGCTGCTGCTGGTGCTGGTGTTGGTGATGGTGCTGGTGCTGGTGCTGGTGCTGGTGCTGGTGCTGCTGCTGCTGCTGCTGCTGCTGCTCCTGCTCCTGCTCCTTCTTCTCCTCCATCTCCTCCTCCTCCTCCTTTTCCGCCTCCTCCTCCTCATCCTCCTCCTCCTGATCCTCTCCTCATTCGCTAACTCGCTCACTCACCCACACACGTTTTCTCTCTCCCTTTCTCTCTCTCTCTCTCTCTCTCTCTCTACAAACTCACTCAGCCACTCACTCACACACTCACTCACTCATCCACTTGGTCGCTCCTCCTCCTGCGACTCTGCATCCTCTGCCTCCTCTACCTCCTCCTCCTCCTCCTCCTCCTCCTCTTCCTCCTCCTGCTACTTGTCCTGCTCCTCCACGACCTCCTCCTCCTTCTCTACCTCCTTCTTCTCCAACCTCTTCTTCCTTCTCCTCGGCGTGAGAAGAAAGAAGTTCGGCACATGGTCCGTGGCTCGTTTAGGCGGGAGACGATCTCGTCGTCTGAACCCCTCCCGTCTCCAGTGTTCCTCCTTCTCCTCCTCCTTCTCCTCCTCCCCCTCCTTCTCCTCCTGCTCTGCCTCCTCCTCCTCCTTCTCCTTCTCCTCCTCCTCCTCCTTCTCCTCCTCTTTCTCCTCCTCCTCAAAAACATGATAGCAACAGGGTGTCATTGTCCTGGCTGCTGGGCCTAGCGCGCAGCAGTAGTGAAACCGGGTCAACACTAAGACAATGACGGTCTGGGCTGGAGAGCTCCTTCTCTTCCCCCACCGCATCACCGCCACCATCATCCTCATCACCACCACCATCAGTACCATCAGTTCATCATCATCACCACCTCCATCACCATCGTCATCAGCCTCATCATCATCAGCAGCAGCAGCATCGTCATCATCAGCAGCATCAACATCATCCTCATCATCAGCAGCATCAGCATCATCAACATCATCATCATCATCATCATCATCATCACCATCAGCATCATCACCACCACCACCATCATCATCACCACCAGCACCACCATCATCATCATCATCAGCATCAGCATCAGCATCAGCATCAGCAGCAGCAGCAGCAGCAGCATCATCATCATCATCATCATCATCATCATCATCATCATCATCATCATCATCATCATCATCATCATCATCATCATCATGTGTCCACTACACTGTCTGATCGCTGGTGGTATAGCGCACCCTCGAACATTCCATGAACGAACCAGGTAATGCCGAGCTTCTGGCACAGAGCGCAAATATGTTCCAAAACAGTGTCCCCAGCCAATGCAGCGTAGGGCCACGACGTCAGCATTTTTTCAAAGGCAGGGCAGCCAGAAGAGAGCTCACTGCCAGACAAGCGGAGGCGCAGAGACTGGCGAGAAAGGAGGGCTCGGGAGGCCCACCCCGCTTGCTTCGGCCTGCACGCACCAGACCTCCTCTTCTCGTGTTTCAGCCGTCAGCCAGAAAACGGACTGTAGCGCATCGATCCCCAGGCTAATGATGCTCCAACCTACTGTAGCCTTGACCACCAGAAAGAATGTCGAGCTCCAAGACAATACCGAAGCTCGAGTGTTTTCACGCGTCGGGCCCCAGGAGGTGATACTCGTTCAAAACTGGGTTCGATACTTGCTGGGGTGCTCGAAACTATTTCTGGGATGTGGTCCCTAAGTACGATGGGAGCAACATGACTGGAAAGGAAGATCAACTGCATAATCGATTTACACCAAAATTGACTTTTGTTCGTCGAATATACGAAAGATACGTCGAACGACCTGTATATCTACAAACATTTACGTCTCTGCTTCGCAAGCTCGACGCGAAAATCAAACTTGGGGTAGATCGACTCTGCAATCGATCCCCCACTCGAACCACCAGCTTGGACGCCCGAAATGGGCACGGAAAGAATGGGTACAATGCCCAACGACAAATGTTGTCACAAACCAATTGCGGCCGCTGTTGGGCAGGCGGCCTTCTGTCTCGAATGGACACAGGCCGCGGCGGCGCGGAGAGCGAGTCCTGTCCAACATGAACAGGAACTGCTGTTGGGCATTGTGCCCATTCTTTCAGTACCCATTTCGTGCGTGCAAAACCAGAGACCTCTCACACTTGAGGGATGCAAAAACGATCCTACCCTGGATTGCAAGTGCGTGGTCTGTAAACCTCCTGGGAACCCCCAAAGCCTAGAGCCACCAGGACGCGGCACATCACGCAGGGTTTACCCTGTCAGCCCACAGGAGGTTCAAAGCACAGCGCCTCGTAAACCAGGGTAGGGGCGTTTTTTTCTGCCCGTCATACACGAGATCAATCCCGAGGCTCCCCGGCGCCACGGCTGCCCATCCCGGGCGCCCCGACTCCGCGCACGACGCGGCCCCGCGAGGCGCGACGCGCGACCGCTTTCGCGCCCCTGCGACCCCCGCGCCGCCCCGCCTGGAGAAGGGCCACGCGAGGGGGGACGACGACGACGGCGACGGCGACGACGACGACGACGGCGACGACGACGACGTCGACGACGACGGCGACGACGACGACGACGACGACGACGACGACGACGACGGCGACGACGACGGCGACGACGACGGCGACGACGACGGCGACGACGACGGCGACTACGGCGACGACGGCGACGACGACGACGACGGCGACGACGGCGAGGCCCCATCCCAGGCCTCCCAGGTGGGGTCCCCGCCGCTTCCCTCAGGTCGGGCATGTCCTCCTAGAGGCGGATTTCGAACGAAAAATGAGGAATGGACCAGACACGCTTTAGAAATACGGTCGGAAGCTCGTCCCCCGACTATGATTTGACCATGCTTGACTATGCTGAAGGGGCCCTGGGACACACAAATACAAGGGTTCCCCACTGTTTCCCATAGTTGCTGGGTTTGTGTCTCCCCCCCACTTCCCATATTTTCCTATACCTTCTGGGGAATCGACGATGAATTGTCTCTGTGTTTTTTTTTCCCTCCTGCTATGCCTCTTGTCGAGGGACACTGCCCGACTCGACACTGCCCGGGGCCATGCGCTCCCCTCTCGGTGAGGCGGGCTCCCTGGACTCTCTGGCACTGGCGGCGGCGGCCCCGCGGCGGAGGGCATCGGCGACAGGCAGGAGGAGGAGGAGGAGGAGGAGGAGGCCGGAGGAGGAGGAGGACGCCGGATGAGGAGGAGGAGCAGGAGGAGGAGGAGGAGGAAGTGAGGGAGGAGGAGGAGGAGGAGGCCGGAGGAGGAGGAGGAGAGGGAGGAGGAGGCCGGAGGAGGAGGAGGAGGAGGAGGAGGAGGTAAGGTAAGGCTCCGCTGAGACCGAGGCTCCGACGGTCTTGGGAGAAACTTGGGGTATCCCCATCACTGCGAGAACTCGGCACTCCTCGGCAGGAGGGCGCCAGCGACGGCGCCTCTCGGCGGACGCCGGCGCACGGCCGAGCACTCTCCATGACTGCTGCTGCTCAACGCTCTGCTTTGGGGAAACAACGCAAGACCCTCGAGCTCGAGTTGCCAGCGGTCCTGGGACCAAAAAACGGAGCATCAACAGTACTAAGGCAAGGCGAGGAGCTGGGACACGCGGCTGCAAGGCACACAATTAACTAAATACTTGCGAAACCTGCTTGAGATCACTCGCGCGGGCAGTCAGCACGAGAGGAACTTCTGAGAACAAGAAGCTGTCGGAGGCGCCAAAACCTTGCGCTGTTTTCTGCCTTACACACGAAGGATGTATACTTCATCATGAGCTTGCTTCATAGCACTGAAGAACAGACGGCAACTTAGAGCGTGAACTGGAACTTGCACGCCTCCTCAGGAAGCGGTACCTCTAGCATTGATGACGCCAACTCTCGAAGAGATCGGCCCTTCTTTCACCCCAGTGCGAACTTTTTGCGCGCCTGGATGCCATAGTCATGCCCTGCGGCCACAGCGGATTTCTCGCCGACTTTGCCGAAGAGGTTGGTCCGCGGCTGAGCCGCCAGCCACTGAACGTGCACTTAGGGAGGACAAAGAACAGCAGGAAGAAATGAGGACAGCAGAGCCAGGAACAGCAGAGGCGGGAATACAAACGCACTAGTCCAGAGACAGCACACGTCGCACACGACTGCAAACCACAAGAATACCAAAGAAATACCTCTAGAGCTCCAGCATTTGATCAGCCAGAGGAAGGTGTTGTCTCAGGTGCCACTGGGCTTCAGGATAGCTGTCGAACGAAATCTCGCACAGCTCGCAGGCGAAAGGGGGAGAATGTTTGTGTTCGAAGACCACAGCCGAACCTCTAGACCTGGGGCAAGAGTGATTCACCAGACTTCTGATCAGGTGCTCGCTAGCTATACGCTTAGTCGAATACATGTTGCCACGGAGAATACACGCGTTAGAAACAGTAACCACTCTAGCCAATACACGATAACCATGATAGGGAAGCTTCGAGTTAGACTGATGAAGGAGGAGCTGACGCCTGGTAGAGAACGCAGCATCGCAGACACCCCCCTCCACCCCCATATGGATGCCACACACGAACCCAGGGGGGGGAGGGGGATGGGGGAGGGGGGGGGAGGGAGGGGAGAAGCCAAGGGAGGCGGAAGGGGGCATCTGCTGACCTAGGTACTCGCTCGCCAGCGCGCGGGGGTCGACACTGAGGAAGGCGTGTCGAACCTCTTCCTCGCATAATAGCGACACTGGGCGCTCCTGAACACGAGCACGTAACTCGAAATATTCACCTACACGAAAAAAACTCTCCCACATCCTCCCAAAACTGCTTCCACCATTCGTACTCGGGTCCTATTTTGAAGCCCTCTCTGTCCACAAACCTGACCTCCTGCTCCTCC